GTCGGAGATGAAGGCTCCTACTCGTACGCTCTTGCTGGGATCGCTATCGTCGATCTATACTTCTAGGACCACGTCTTTTTGGGGGTATATCTTATGGATGGGTTTAGCAACTGCGTTAACCCGATGGGTCGGTTGCTGGAGCTTGACATTGGAGACTAGAAGGTAACGCACAGCCTGTAAATCGCCTCGTATTTTCTTGATTCGTCTGTTGTTTCTAGGGAACTTGATGCATTGGTGGTAAGTGGAGGAAATCGCTTTCATCTAGTGAAGCCACGACGTGCCAAGTATAACGTTATAAGGCGCTTCGGTCGCAATAACGGAGAATTTTACCATGCGAGTAACTTTGCTAGTTTAGACGGGTAGCCGGATTGTGCCGATCATTTCCTCTGATACTTTGTTGAATTCGGTTAAGGAGTGATTGGATGGTTTCATGACATGTAGGTTGGCTCCCATCATTTCAAGGGTTTTCTGGAAAATAAGACCGTCCGAGCTGCCGGTGTCAATCAATACCTTGCAATCCCCGATGCCGAGTTCGACGAGCAGCGGATCGTTTTGTGGCATGTGAACTCCGAAGGCATTGTCTGCCAAGAATCTGATCGTTGGATCGTTCTCGGGTTTGGACGGCCAAGTTTGAGAGGTTTTCGTTTGGCGCTGGTAGGCGTTGACCGACCGAACCTAGTCACCTCATGGGGGTGATCCTCCCAAGATAATGTTTGCTCGCTTGTTCTGGATATGCGAGTGCACGTCGTAAGGCGAGCATGCAACACTAGGCCGATGCGCTCAGCTGTCTTTGGTCGCCCCGATCTATCGTCGTAAGTCTTAGATTTTCGGATTGCTGAGTTTGAGGGGGAGTTCGTTGACCTTTGAGTTTAGGTAACTCCTCAAGTTGATGCTACCTAGGGGAGAATCATACCCATCTGGATCATCCGCGGTTCGGCTTGCTCGGTTGCTGGGATGCTGACCGTGTCCTCTACCTTAGCGGAGTCCGATGGTGCTGTCTTTACAACGATGTTCCTTCGCTTCAGTATGTGTCATACGTATACGGGACTCAGACTATCTCTCTCCCAGGGAAGGTTCCTCTTCCTCATCTATCAATGTATCCGGGCGCACGAGGATGACATCGAATCTTCGTAGTTTCCTCGGCTGCTCGTCGTCAGCAGAAGAGTCTCCTTTCTCCTGCACTAAGGGGTCAATTTCTTTGATGTCCGCCTTCGGCTCGGCTCACGGAGGTATTCCTTGCGAATTTTGAGCCTTCTTGTCTTTACTCTTCTCCAGTTGTTATTCTTCGGCTTTGCTTTAGGAGGCTAAATCTCAAATTTTCCGCTTGCGATAGGCGAGAGGAACTGCTCGTACAAGATTTTGTATTCCTTCGTGTCGTGCTTCTTGCTCTTATGATAGGCACATTACTTGTCTGGTTCCGTGGAATTCGACCCTGACACTTCGGATGCGCTTGGGGTTTTCTAGTCGTCGTCGGCTCTGTCCCAATGATTCCACCCCTTTACTTGGACCACAACCGTGGATCCAGGGAGGTCATCCTCGTTGACTAGGTAAATGAAACTCTTCTTTGGATTCGCTTTATCGCTAGGGGCATGTTGCTGAGGTTCTGGGCGAGGTTTGCTACTCTTAGCCGACGCTTGCTTCGTCGCGTTCTGCTTGCTGATGATCGCTTTAGTTTCCTCCTCCATGTGGATGAAATTGTTTGATCGAGCAATGGTGTCAGAAAGGGACTTAGTCGGATGGCGGTACAGGTCGTCTCGGAACTCGCGTGCACGTACAGGGTGTTCATGAGGGCATCCACAGCGATGCTATCGAGGACTTTTACTTTGGACACGATGGTTTTAAAAATTTTCATGAAGTCGCGTAGGCTTTGTCCCGGTGACTGAGAGAGGTTCCAAAGATCTGAAGCAGTGGCTTCTTGACAAGTAAACATTATGTAGTTCTTGAGGAAAGCTGATGAGAAATCGTGAAAGTTGTCAAGAAAGTATTCCGGTAAATCGGTGAACCACGTGAGGGCCGCGCCAGTCAAACTTTCAACGAAGAGCTGGAAAAAGCCGGCATCCCTCTCCTCGTCAGAGAAATTTGGTCACCTCATAGCGACGTTGAAGGATGTTATGTGTGCAGTCGGGTCTGAGAAATCGTCGTAGATCAGCAGGCGGACCTTATCCATCTTTCAGAGGCGTATGCTGGTGATTTTGCTAGTGAATGGCGTTCGTAGAGTATCCGCGATAACGCTCTCGATGAGCAGAGCAGAGGTTGTGACGCCATGGATCTTCGAGTTTACGTCGAGTTGGGCCTGCTTGAGAGCGGCTATCTCTTGGACAGCCTGTAGATCTGGGACGCCGGGGGTGTTGATTTGCTCCTAGGTGCCTTGGGCCTGCGTACTGATGACTTGGCCATTAGGGTTAGCTGTTCGGTCAGTGTCGAACAGCTGTCGTCGGAAGTGTTCGTTAGTGGCGGCCATCTTGGCGAATGGCGTAAGGATGGCTGCTATGACGGCGAGTTTCTCGGTGGTTGCTCTCTAATCTTCGTCTTGCCGTGTAAATCATTCCATGAGGGTGTCGATGAAAGTCGGGATGAGTGGTACGGCAGTAGCCGGAGTTGGTGTTACTGCGTCTCCCTCCTCGCCGGAGGTCGAATCGTTACTCGAACTCATTTTGTTGACGCTACTTTGTTATGCCCCACAGTGGGCGCCAACTGTTTGAACTGAGCTCGGGCGTGTATCAGTAAAGAGAGTTAAAGGCCTCGTCGGTGGGTTATTTCAAAGGCGTTTTACTATTTATGAGTGAAAGAGTAAGTTTATTGATGAGAGAGTTGATGTACAAATGAGGAAACCAACGAGATGAGACGGCGTCACTCAGAGAGTTAGCCGGAAAAGTACAAGTTGGAAAGATACAAAGAGGTAAAACCAAATTCGAGCCGCCTTGTGAAGGATTGCTTGATTTCAGGATCTCTCTCTCGTTGCCTCCTCCTCTCTCTTTATAGTGTGCTCTCACTCCCCTCAATGACCTAGGTCGGTATCCCCATAAGAGGCCTCTTGCTAATGGGCCTCCTGGCCGGCCCGTTAATGGCTCGAGTCGAGCCGAGACGTGATCGGCTGCTGGGCCGCTCTGGTTTGTTTCCAGATGGGCCGTTCCTATTATTCGATGGCCTTGAGGGATGGGGAAATCCACCTCCTACAATTCGCTCCTCTCTGTCGCGAATGGCTTCCTCCATGGACATGTCTCCTATGTAACTACTCCACCGTAGAATCTCATGTACAGGTTGTCTCCTATGTTTTTCTGCTTTCAGTTCTCTACGCGATTGTTCGTGTGTCACATTTATGATTCCGAGATTGAGATCTCCAATGCACTGAATTGATTGATCCAATTGACATGGATCACACATTTTTGCACATTTGGTCCGTTATATTTAATTTGTTTTGCAATTTTCCCTTCTAAATTGTGCAAGTTTTGATTTAGAAAATGCCCCAAACTTCCAAGTTCGCACTCCACCCCCTATGATATGCAAAATGTGTATTCATATGCAACATGAAAATATAATTGCACACAAAAATTATCTAAATGAAATAAATTAGATGTTAAAATTCATTAAAATCATAATATCTCATGAAAGTCTAGAGACTCGGGTATATCACTCCAAACATGAGAGTGTAGTCCTACAATCGATGAGTCACTAGCTCGTCAATCGTCGAGTCACACGTGTTAGTTCCCAGCGACATGAAAAGATGGCGATTAACAAAAAAGTCACCGGCGATGAGATTGTGGCTTCACGGTGGTAGACTATCATGGTCACCTGAGATTCTAATAAACCTTAGGACACCTAAGATTTTTTGCTTAAATTTATGGGCTTTGTTGAACTATAGGTCTTGGATCGTTATACTATTTTACACATTGATGTTAAATTAATTCAGTATTTCACAAATGTATGTATAAAACAAACTGAGATTGATTGTCATATCGATGGTGATGCTTATAACTGGCTCGTGAAGTTAACTTACTACTATACACTGGAGACTTGAGTAGTTACCCGTGGTGAGTTTAAATATTATTTCAGATTTGACATGTGATTTTCCAGGATCAAATTTAAGGAGCATTGGTTCAATACTATTGAAGATATTTCCTATTAATTTTTTTTCCTATCTTATAGAAATGTTTTTCCAAAATGAAAATGTCTAATGTCGTTGTAAATGTTGATAACAAAAGAGTAAGAATCTTTACAAAAACTCTGACACAAAAAGAAATGAGAATGAGTGTTTAGCACAAAATCATATACTAGACCTGTTTAAGTTACTTGAGGAAAATGCTGAAGTCTATGACGAAACGCACACGATGATGAAAGAAGTCTTGTTTACTTTAAATTAATAAATCGGTGGATTTTCTTTTAGTAAAAAGGGGATATATATTACGAAGATTTATAGAAGACACAAATTAGGAAAAGATATATGCAAATAGTCATGGATTAAGGTAGGAATGTTGGTGCTGAGCTTGAGAGCCAACGATTCATCATTCGCCAAATCTGAGCAATTTGTCTCATTGCAGTCGGAAAAATACTTTCCGCTAATTGGTTTCGTTACTCAATGCCACATAACATGTTGTCGCTGCACCCTAACCCCATAACAAAAAAGAACTTGAGAGTTAATATGATATAAAAATTATTAATATATTTAAGTGTGTTAAGAGGGTTAGTTCTTATATAAGACATGCGAGATATAATTTGACTCGTAGTGCCATGTATTTAAATATAAGTCTATGCATGGATATTGATGATGATGATGACAAAGTTGTCTTTTGTATTTAAAATAAAATTTTTATTGTCAGGAAAAAATAGTATGAACTTGTTGGGTGTATAATTTTACTATTTAGCAAAAAAAAAAAAAGGAACGAATGCACATATGCGCCTATCTGGCTTACAGATTTTAGCAGCTTCGAAGCAATCAAAAACAGTTAATCTGCATCAAAACACATCATGATTTTATTTTCTTAATTTTTCCATACCAATTATTAGATTCCCTTTCCACTGCAATAGATATGGTAAGGTTTAATTTCACCTATCAAAAGACCCTTGTGTGCTCTGATAATTCTTGTCTTAATAATCCCCGGACGGACTGCATTTATCGTTACGTTTGCATTTCTGTCCTGTAAGCACATATAGTTGTGAATTTTCCAATTCTTACGTTTATAAACAGAATAATAATAAATAATAAAAAGATGTAATAAGTCAAATATAGTTTGCTTAAAAATATAATTTAAAACTCACCTTTAATCGCCTGCTCAATGCTTTGACATGTAAAATTGTGGCCAGCTTCGACTGAGCATAGTCCTTTGTACCATTATACCTTTGGTTACGCAACATTAATTAGTATACCAAACAAAAACTTTATCATATGATTAGTTTACATGTACCGTAGGTAGTTTTAAGTATTAAAATAGAAATGATCGTGTGAATTACTTAATGGGATGTAGTAATTTAGGGAAGGAGAAACAATCAGGCTAGACCCAAGTATGAATCACTGAAAGTAAGGTTGATGATTTGCCCTTCGATTCCACTCTTCTTAGCCGTATCTATCATTTTCTCTATCAGCATTTCTGTTAATAAGTAATGTCCTGAAAATTATATACTTCTCATCATTAATTTTTCTTCACTCCATATGTTCATCTCTCTAATGATTCCAGAAAATTACCTAAAAAGTTTGTAGCAAATGTCAGTTCAATCTTTTCCTCTGAGAATTCAAGATTTGGAGAGAAAACCCCTGCAATGTTTCTGCAAGAAAAAAAAAAAAAAAAAAAAAAAATATATATATATATATATATATATATATATATATATATATATACACATATACAGTTTCCTTCCAAGGGTTAGTTAATTAAAGTCTCAATGTACATATGTGTGTGGATGGGAAAACAAAACAGTGGTACAATCCAACTTCTGTAGCTCTACTAGACTACTTGTGTAATATTTGCATACACACAGGAGGTGGTGGAGTGGATCTTACGTATATGATAACGTTGAGGGGAATATCTTGTGAAAGAAACTGAGAGCAGAATTGTTTGAACCGAAAACGGTGTGTTTGTCGAATTCATACAATAAAAGAATCTAAAGATTAGATTCTTGAGCCTTAGTAGAAATCAACATTGAAATCAAATGAGAAAGAACATCCAAGAGATTTTATTGACAAAGATTGCATTATAAATTATTTGAATAGTAAAGTGAATCTAAGAATCTATAAAATCCTTATAGGAAGTGTTCTAGATCTAAAAGAGGAGAAAGATCCCAAACAAGAAGGGGTTGCCTCCTAATAATATGAGCCTTATTCATTGTCTAATGGGCCTTGTAGAGGATGTAAATCCACCCTCCAACAGTAAGTCCTTCCAAGTTTGTAGAGAGAGACGAAGTTGATATCTGTGAATTTTACGAATAGGGTTTATTAGACAATGAACCAGACACATACCCATACTGTAAATGCATTGTCATGAGCGAGCTGTTATGGTGAGGTGGTCATAAATGAAGTGTCATAGACGAAATGCCCAGGGGCGAGCCGTCGTTGACAAACTTCTGATTCCGATTTGACTTCTTACTCCGGGGATGGTTGCGCGAACAATCTGTGAAGATAGTGTTCTGCACCATCGGAGTAAGTCTCCATGGATGAATCGTCAATCGACTAACTGCCAAGAACAAATCACCATAGACATCATCATGAACGTACCACCACAAAGAAACATCACAAACAAATAGCCATAGGTAGAGATGTCTTCGCGGCTGTAGTGATCCATGTGTAAATGGAATAAGGAAATCAGCGGTCGAGTCGTCTTGGTGATCTGCGCGCTGCCGTGACTGGTGCGGCCAGCAAGGGAGATGTGGAGCGAGATCAATACTGGACTGCCACGATCTCACTGGTGTGCTGAGACTATGAATCTGCGCCGCTTCAAAGACTTTGCGCTTGTCTTTCAAAGCGTGAGGACATGATGGTGGCAACCGCTTGTTGACTCTCTTTGGTTCAACGATCGCAATCGACTCTGGCTCACGAAAATCACAAGCATGATTAGATCAAGATAAACCGAAAGAAATAATCAAGTTTTGCATCATCAATAAGCAGAAATGAAACTCATTTTTACTTAATGCTCATGAGTTGCACATGATGACATGATAAATGTTAACTATCAATATCATAAGCTACCAACAATAAAGCAATAACATGAGATGAAATAACAGCTTAGAGTTGTGTAATAATTTATCAAAGTCACAATGTTTACAGTAGCATTATTTTAAAAGTTATTAAAACTTTTGATAATTCAGTAAAAGAAACTTATCTTTGCGGTGGAGATGAAACCAGCGGTTGGAGAGCTTTGTTACGATCCTCCAAAGACAAGATGAAGAGTAGCTTTTTGGATAGGCGCTCATCACCTTTGCGATCTCAAGTCAAGCTTTGAGGAGAAGATGCAAAGCAAGTAGCTGACGAGATAGATTTTGTCTCTGTTATACATTCATACTTACGAGAAGCTCGTGCCGGTTGCGGCAAGTTCGTCGGGAGAGCTTATTAGAAACGAAGCGAGAGGTTGACGCCATCGAGTTCACTCTTTTTCTTTTGACCAACTGGTTCTTCCATCTCTTACCCCTTAATCTGCAACTTTTTGTGAAGAAGAAACAAGTGCTCGAGATTCGAAGAACAGAGCTTGAGAGCTTCAGCGTCGTCACCGATAGAGCCTAAGAAGCTGCGCCTTCTTTATACTTTGACGAGAAACTCGTACCGATTACAGCAAGCTTGTCTTGGCGAGCTTTAGAGATGAAGATAAGGCCATACCAACCTTAAAGATTATCGTGCCAAGATCAAATTCTTCTTCACGCTGTGTGGCTTTTGCGACGTAGAGGCAAGAGCTTGATGGAATTATGCTGAGAACTCGGTACATAGCATTGAACCAAAAACAGAGTTCAAATCGGCAGATTATGACGAGGTTAATAGCTCGTGATCTCCATGGATCTTTTTCTTTAAGGAAGAACAGCCTCAGACGTCATGAGGAATCTCTTTGGTGTTGGTGGAGCTTAAAAACGTCGTCACGGTAGAGCTTAAAGAGGCTGAGCTTTCTTGTCAACAAAGACAGTCTTGTTGCTGAATCTCCGCTGGTCTTGTTGCAGATAAAGCCTTGATTTTTAATTCAAGATCTTTTGTTAACTAGTTGCTGGCAGGCAGAAGCGATTCAAGCTTTTTCCATTTACCGATCCAAGAAGGTAATGAACCAGAAAGGTGATTTCTTCTCAGCCAAAACGACAGCAAAGGAATCTCTGGGAACTCCAAAGGTAGAGACTCAATCTCGCAAGGGATCGAACCGTTAAGCTCACATTTTCAAGGTAGAGACAGTACTCTAGTGGAAGCTGTTATTCTCTCTGACCGTTACATCAGTGGCCGGTTCCTACTGGTTAATTGGTTTTCCCAACTATTGAATTGGTTGATGAAGCAGTGGAAAAAACTGAAAATGGAAATCACTTCAAAACCCACAGCTCTTGACGAGCTTAACCGTGCGGTGATCAAGCTTGAAATGGAGAGGCTTTCACTCACTAATGACACAGACAAAAATTCAAGAGAGGGGCTGAACCGAATCGAAACAGAGTTATTGCTTGTAAAGGAGAAGCAAGCTTAGTTAACTGAACAGTGGGAGCACCAGAGGTCTGTTATGTCCCGTCTTCAATCCATCAAAGAGGAGATTGACAGAGTAAACCTCGAGATCCAGCAAGCAGAACGTGAATACGATCTAAACCGTGCAGCAAAGCTCAAATACGGGCTTAAACTCCCTGCAGCAACAGTTAAACGAAGCTGAGAAAGAGCTTAAGCTCAGGAAAATCTATGTTTAGAGAAGAGTTGTTAGGTAGCGACATAGCTGAGATTGTGAGCAAATGTACTGGTATCCCTGTCTCCAAGCTTCAACAATCCGAAAGAGATAAGCTTCTACACTTGGAAGAAGATTGCATAGGCGTGTGATTGGTCAGAATCCATCAGTGACGGCTGTAGCTGAAGCAATCCAACGCTCTAGAGCTGGTCTCTCGGATCCATGCCGTCCAATACCTAGCTTCATGTTCATGGGACCAACATGTGTTGGTAAAACCGAGCTAGCCAAATCATTAGTTTCTTATCTCTTCAACCCAGAGGAAGCTTTGGTTAGAATCGACATACGTGAGTATATGGAAAAACACGCTGTGTCAAGACTCATCGGTGCTCCACCTGGATACGTTGGTTACGAGGAATAAGGACAGTTTACTGAAGTGGTTAGAAGAAGGCCTTACTCGGTGATCCTATTCGATGAGATTGAGAATGCTCATGGTCATGTGTTCAATGTGTTTCTCAAATTCTTGGATGATGGAAGAGTCACTGATTCTCAAGGCCGTACAGTGAGTTTTACAAACACCATTATTATCATGACCTCGAACGTTGGCTCGCAGTATATCTTGAATGATGACACGAATGAGCTTGGTTATGAGACGATTAAGAAGAGAGTTATGGATGCTGCGAGATCAATCTTTCGTCCTGAGTTTATGAATATAGTTGATGAGTAAATTGTTTTCCAGCCTCTTGACCGTCAGCAGATCAACAACATTGTCAGGTTATAGCTGGCTCGTGTGCAGAAGAGAATTGCGGATAGGAAAATGAAGATAGAGATCACTGATACAGCGGTGGATCTTCCTGGATGCCTCGGGTATGATCCTAACTATGGAGCTAGACTTGTAAACTGTTAAGCTCGATGGAGACAAGATTAAGCATGCTCAGGCTCTGTAACTCCACGGTTGATTTGGGAATAGGACACCTATCATCTCGGATCTCAAGTTTGATTCTTTGATAAAGCTAACAACTTTCGAGTTCACAACCGCCATTGAGGTAAGACGTTGTCATCTGTCTTAGCGAAAAAATGGAAACTTTATGGGTCCTTAGCGGTCTCTGGAAACAAAAGAGACCTATCCTCATCTCCTTCGACACGTTGAAAAGCTCTAGAGGAACCTTAGAGCTTTGACATGTCTATCAATGGCGTCCAAGCGGTTCTTAGCGCCCTTCTCAGAGTTGTGTATCACAGATGTTGCGGCTTCGACGTCGTCAATCTCTTGTCTGGATGGATGGCGACGGATTTAGATACACACATATGTTGTCGGACTGAAAGCTTGACACGAAACAAGATCTGTTTTTTTTGTTTTTGTTTTAACACTAAGATCTTGGATCTAGGATTCTTCTCAAGTGTGATATGTTTTCAAGATTGTTCTCCTTGGCCCCCTCTTTCTTGCGCCAATTGTTTGAACTGAAAACGGTGTGTTTGTCGAATTCATACAATGAAAAAATCTAAAGATTAGATTCTTGAGGCTTAGGAGAAATCAATATTGAAATCAAATGAGAAAGAACATCAAAGAGATTTTATTGATCAAAGATTGCATTACAAATTATTTGAATAGTAAAGTGAATCTAAGAATCTATAAAATCCTTATAGAAAGTGTTCTAGATCTAAAAGAGGAGAAATATCCCAAACAAGAACGAGTTGTCTCCTTATTTATAGGAGAAAGAAACCTAGGGCTTCCTAATAATATGGATCTTATTCATTGTCTAATGAACCTTGTAGAGGATGTAAATTCACCCCCAACAAAAATCTAGGAACTGAAGAGAGAGAGCTGAGATCAATCTCCAATAAAACCATATCAGCTTCTGGACTCTCTCTCTCACTATTTTCTCCTTCACCATTTCTGGTTTCTTCATATCTCTTACAGCCATGACTACTCTCATGTCTCTTTTTCCTAACACTTTCGCCGTATCCGCACTGATCTCAGATGTTCCTCCTGTGAAATTGTGAAGGGGTCATTAAGAAAAATAATTACAATAATTATTTAATTTCTTCTCCGTTTTTCTTATTTCATGTTAAGAAATAGAGTGTATACCATCCTCGAATTATATTCGGCATAACATAATCTTTTTCTCTTACACTGGTTAAATTATCAGGAAGTTAGTAGTGTATAATTAGTTATCTACAATTCATGTAAAGGCAACTTTCTTGTTTGCTTTTTGCAACTAAATTAAAGAGTAAAAAGACACCACTTAAAAACAACTCATTGACTCTTATCGTATAAAGTTCCAGCCGACAAATTAGAGAACATAAAGATAGCATACAGTACGTTTTGGGCAGGCTGATCACTAAAGGGAACTAAATAAAGTAATGTTTTGTAACGATGAGACATGTTTCAAAGATTAAAGTCAAAAGGCAAATCAATTCTTTATGGAAATCTGCTGTAACGAGATTTTGTCGCTCTACTTGAAAACACAACCATAACAATATTTATATTTCAGTGGAGACAAAATCCATATTTCGTCGCCGGCATACAGATGACACATATTCATAAAATAATTCTCATGACCCAAACCATTGCCTTCAGCAAATCTGGTCCAATGCTTATACCCAGTTAAAACTGCCCAAGATATTTTCTTTAAATACCTATTTTTTCTCCAAAATTTTCATTCATGCAAGCAAGCAACAACTTTTAGAGAGAGATTAAGGAGAGTGTTATGTGCTTAGTAGAGAAAAGGTCGCCGGAGCACATCACCGGAGCCACCACGTCCAGAGTTCCCAGCCAACCTGTCACCACCGACCCCCAGCCTAGGCCACCATCGTGTTCTACTCGTCAAGACGAAGTCGTACACCCTGACCACGCTGCGATCCAACCCCGTACGAACCGTCACGCGTCTGTCAAAGTTCGCCCTCCGTGCGCGCGTGTACTGCACGCGCCACCTTCCTCCGCAAGAGAAGCCGCGTGTGATGACCACGCGCCACCGCCTCCTGGCCGGAGCCACCGCAGCCAGCCGCCGTCCGTCCGCTGCCGGGAAGACCACGCGCTACCGCTTCCTGCGGCACCTCCGCCGCACCGCCGCCGCACCGCCGCCGCCAGAGAACCGCCGGTAAGCCGCAGCATATCTCGCCGGACCGGTGATCGGAGCCGAAGACTCACCGGTGACTCGGTCAACTCGGCCGAGTTGACTCGGTGAGTTAACCGGACAACTCGATCAACCGGTTTGTTTCGGGTCAGTGCGGTTATTATTTGGTTAGATTAAGCCGGTGGTTAAAATCAATTAGAAATCGGTTAGGAGTAAACCGGTTCATTAAATTAATTGATTTTGGTTTAGTGTAAACCGGATTAAAATCGATTGGAATTTGGTTCAATTGAAATCAAAATCGGTTAAGGTCAAACGGATTGGTTAAGTCAATTGATTTCTGGTCAAGGGTTGACCGGGTTGATTTTGACATGCGAGTTGACCTTTAGACCAATCCGCCTGAAACCTGTTTTAAACCGTTCAAAAACCGTTCTGAGTATATTTTTCGCCCTGATTTCAAATTTGGAGTCTATTTGAGCACATGGAGTTCATAGGTACCACTTCTCTTCATTGCCAAAGTGAGGGCTACTCCGTTAAATCCGAACTAGTTTAGTACTACCATTATGGAAAGTTTAGTTTCGAAACATGATCTGTTTCTGTGAATAAAGTCTGTTTGAGAATCTTGTTTGTTTAGTTATTACTATTGATGTTAAACATGAATTAGGATAATAGAGGATTCAACAATTGTGTGAAATGATTGATGTTAGGAATTGTTATATAATGTATATCTATATATATATGAGTCCATGTGTGAGATTGCGGGGGTACAAAGACGTTTGTACTTACGACGCATATGTTTGAGGAGATTTCGGGGGCACATGACGTATGTGCTTACGACGCCTATATGTTTGAGGAGATTTGCAGGGGGTACAAAGACGTTTGTACTTACGACGCCTTAGTGTTTGCGGGGGTACAGAGTAGACTACTGTACTTACGACGCCTGTGGAGTTATATACGTATATCCTTATGAGGAAGTGTGATATGTTATCATTGCATTGGTTGTAGCATGTCTAGTCCACTAGACATATGTTGATTGTTCTGTGTGGTGTAGTAGACGCCGTGTTTGTTTCATGCTAGAGCTAGGCCTATATCTTTGTAGTGATATGAACTTAGTCAGTGATTTAGTGGTTTAGCATCTCATACCTCACTGAGCGACTCCCATGTTGCTCACCCCTCCTTTCTTTTACCCTTTCAGGTGAGACCGAGGAGAAAGAGTGATTCTATCGGACCGGTGCTATTTGGGCTTTTGGGCTTCTATCCTATCTTATCGTATTTTATCGTTATTGGGCTTATAAGCCTTTGGAATTTTATTGTTTATCTTGTTTCATATTTCAGACTTTCGGATTATGTTGTTATTTATATTTCGGATGTTATGTTGTATTATGTATTTCCGACGTGGAAGTTGACTTTTCAGTATTTGGTAGTGAAGACTTATGCTATTATTATTCGAATATTATATTATATTATTTTCGAGAATTCGGGTCTAACATTTTTGGTATCAGAGCGTGGTTCCGTCCCGGCTCCAACCCGGTATGGCGATTCGTAGAGACTTGGATTTTCACTCCGATTTTAATTTGGTTTTGCTTCGGTTTTACACGATTTTAAAAGTATTTTAGGGATTTGGGAATTTTCAAAATAAAAATCAATAGCACCATTATGTTTGGTATCATTTCTTTAACCCTTTGAATTTGGTGTTCGATAGAAGTTAACTGATTTGTTTCCCCCTTCCAGATGCCACCAAGATTGAGAGTTATTCGTACTCAGACTACTAGAGCTGTTTGAGAGGCTGGATATGAGCATGAGCAGCCCGCAGCCTCCACCTCCACATCCACCTCCACCGGTTGATCAGGACGCTTTGAGGCAGATGGTGCGGGATGCAGCTAGACAAGTTGTTCAAGAAGCAGTTCAACAGGTTGCCCAAGAGGCAGCCAGACAGGCCGCTCAGGAAGCTGCCATGGTAGCAGCAGAGGAGGTTGCTAGACAGATGGCTGCAGTTCAGCAGGGTCCGCAGATTCTGAAAGGTCCTCAGGTTCATGTGCAGCATGGTCTGCCGCTTCATGTGCAGTAGGCTACACCGATTCAGATTCAGCAGGATCATCAGAGTCCCGCGCAGCAGGTTCCAAAGGGATTTCAGTTTCCACCACCACCAACAACTGTCATTCCGGAGCAGGTTCTTGAGTGTGATGAGACACTTATGAAGATGATGGGGCAAATGAAGTCTGTGAAATTGGAGCCTTTCTTGGGTGCAGTTGGTGCAGAATATGCTTAGAATTGGAAGCATAGGCTCGATAGTTGTCTGGATATCATCAAGTGCCCACACCGACTCCGCCTTAATATCGCCGAGTTGTATTTACGTGGAGATGGCTTAGTATGGTGGGATGGAGTGAAGCTGATGCGTGGGGTCAGATCTATGACGATTTCCTCCGTGCGTTCAATAAGAAGTATTTTTCCAGGGAAACTTTACATTAGAACAAGAATGAGGTCGAGCATTTGAGACAGGGTACTAAGACTGTAAGAGAGTATGAGCTAGAGTTTCGCCGTCTCCGCATGTTTGCCGGTAATACTATGGATGAGGAGGATCTGGTCAGTAGGTTCCTGGATGGGATGCAAGTGGAACTTCGTGGTAGATGCAGTGTGGTGTCTTACACCAGTTTGGAGGATTTGGTAGAGAAGACCGCTACTCATGAAAAATGTTTGGCAGAGGAGCAGAAGTACTCCAAGACAGCTCAGCCTAAGACCGGAAGGGCTTCTGGGTCGCAGAAGAGGACTTGGGATCAGACTGAGACACCTAGGTGTGCGTGTTTTTGTCGCCGTCATATTGGGGAGTGTTTCAAGT